TTTTCTTACTATATTGAGATGCAATTTATAGACATTTGTTTATCTTTTCATTACTTTATTCTTTTACATTTTTCTTATCAAAGGAATTATGAAGATTAAAGATTAAAGTTCATATTTTTCAGTTTGTTTTTGTGCAGGGTTCATCAATCAAATGCATGGAATTGAAATTTTTGAAAGTTGGATTAGATGTGATTCATGATGGAGTTTGAGATCTTGGAAATGTTTTTATTTTATTTCATGGGTTTGAATTGAATGAAATTTGACAACAAATTTTTTTTTTAATTGCATTTTGGATGAATGTAAAAGTTAATGAAGAATTACTATTTTTATTTATTGCATTTTGGATCAATGTAAAAGTTAATGAAGAATTAATTTTAGGTAAGCTTAGGATTTTGAATGATTTTACTTTAATTGTATTGTTAGGATAGTAGATAGTGAATGGGATTGATGATTTAGTTTAGGATTTTGAAATATGTTCTTGTGTTAGTTTATGATTTGATTTAGGATTTTGAATGATTTGTTTGTGTTAGGAATTGATTTTGTTGTGTTTTTAATTTTATAAGTTTTAATTCATTAATTATTAATGTTGGAACATTTTAGAAAATTGGGGGAAAATGGTCCAAAATAAATATTTACAAAATGGGAAAAAAAAGGCTCAAAAATAAATTTTTTGAAGAAAAAAGGTCCAATTCGTAAACCACCCGCAACCGCCTGCACATCTGCGAATCCTATTCACACAAACTGCAAACCACACTACGGGCGGTTGTGGGTTGACTTTTTTCCAAACCTCATAGATGCGGGCGGGTCCAAACCGATCCTCAAACTATCCAAATCCGAACTGCAGACACCCTTAGTGTAGGGTATTAGAGCACCTCTACCTGATATTTCAAATCTGATGTGGCATTCCAACAGTTATATTTTGACATCAAACATCAACTCCACTCGGTATGTCAAAAGTTAATGTGGCATTTGGTATTATCCTTTCATGCCAATTTTGACATATTTCAACAGTCATATTTTGACATGTTTCTATTTCATATATTTTTTTAAAATAAAAAGGCTTCCATGTAAAATACAAGAGTTCAAATTTAAAAAGTAATAGACTAATATATTTGACATATCGGAGAGAGAGTTTCCATGTCAAATTGACATATGTCAATTTGCCACCCAAGGCTGCAAAAAAATTTGACATACTAAATTGTGAAGATTTGGGTGGAGATGCTCTTACTCTTATTACTCTTATTAGGTCTAAAGCTTGTTTTGTTTTGATTAGGACTTAACGATTATTTTGTTTTGATTGTAAGGATATGATTAATGAAGTTATTTTGTGAGAATGACAAATTAATATTTTGAAGGATAATTTTTTCTATCTTTACCCACTGTTGTCGAACCATCTATCATTGGAATAGTCAGCGGTGGCTAGTGGTGCTAGTGATATAGACAGATAGGTAGATTAGATGAACAAATAGATGGATAGATAGGTGGTACGTGGACATATAGGTGACACTAGACATATCTGTAAATAAATATGTGACACGTGGACATATATGTAGATAGATAAATGACACATTAATTGATACGTGACATTGGATAAATAAATGACAACGACAAATAAGTAGAATAGTAGACAGGCAGATAGATAGGGACAATATGATTTTCAAATTGTTATTATCTTATGCCCCCAAAAGATTAAAACTTGGAGCTATCATTTCAAAATTAAATTTATGGCTCAAATACATTTTTGTAGCAAAATGTTTTACACTACATCTCTTCTTTTATCTTGTAACATGGACGATTTCATTATTTATGCAAAAAATACATAACAAACACTACAATTTTTTTATGGGAGAGGTAGTTATCATTTTCATACCCACCTATCATTCTTATCATATAATTTACTCATCTTAAATTTTCATGTTTTAAAATTTAGTACTTGAAATATTTAGTAAATTACACTAACTTCTTTTGAAATTTGAAGAAAATACAAGGAATTTCATAATTTTACATATTACATCGACCTTTCTTTTAATAAGGTAAAAGGATTAGAATTAATGCAAATGATGTACAAATATAAGAACAAACAAAATAAAATATGTAACGCCTCAATCCTTCACATGTCATCGATATTTTCTGCTTTGGGCCACACCTGTATGGATTTGTTCTTCCCAGTGGGTCACCCATTCCCAGAACTACTCCAACCTTAGCACACTTAACTATGGAGTTCTGCTAGGGATTTCACTACTCTGGAAAAGGCCTCGATGTTATATAAGGGTCCAGATTTTTACTTTTATAGCCCAAAAACTCCCCCTCCATTCTCGATGTGGGACACTGAGACCTTACAAAATATATATTTCAATTTTAAACAGAAAACAAAAACACTTTTTCATCTATATAACTAACAAATTACAAATGAAAAAGAATGGCAAAATGTTTTGTGAATTAAATCCTTAAAGAAGTTTAATGTAATTATGTTAAATTTATGAGACTTGATGAAAGTGAGCAAAATTTTCTTCAAACGTGGAGGTTACCATAATTTTATCAGTTATGCTACGAACATAAAAAAGACAAAATTGTTGAAAAGTCCAATCTAAGGAAAGGTATATGGTATTAGGTCTAGTGGATATTTTCTGTTAGTGAGAGATCCACCTTTTGTCAAATAGTTTGGTAAGAAGTCATTTTGTTGGTTTTTGAGGACATTTTGTTTCTAATTTTACCCCTATGATGTATTGGTTTCGGATTTCTATTCTGCTTTAGGACTATTACTGTCTTTGAAGCTTTGAGTTATCTTTGTTGACATATATTCTTGTTCTTCTAAACTATTCATATCTTATGTTATCTTTTGAGTTGAGAATTGGATTTTGGTGTTATGTTTAAAACAGGTTGAGATTAGTATTTTTGGGGTGATTTTGGCTGTGTGAACTAGAGCGATGGTTTGGTTACTCGAGCAGTCTTTTCTTTCTTTCAGTTTTGGGTTTGCAGTCTAAGCTTCTAAGAGTTTGTTCTCTTCATTCGAGCGTAAGTTTTGTTGCTCGAGCAGTCCTTGATGTTTAATACTCAAGTTTAGGTTTCATCGCTCGAGCAATCTGTTCAACAGAGATAAAATTCTAGGAGTTTGATTTCTTTGCTCAAGCTTAGTTTTGATTGTTCGAATGATATGTTGTGTTTGACGCTCGAGCATAAATTTTTATCGTTCAAGCAATCTATTTGAATAAAGTTGTAAGGAAAGTTACATTTTGATCACATTTTGCTTCTTCTCTCTCTAGAACCTATCTTTCCTTTTTTTGCTCTCATCTTTTTCTAAAAACCTTACATAAATTCTCCGATCTACCTTGTGGCATTTCAAATGTTTAATTAATTTTAACACTACACTAATAACTAATCATGATAAAAAATAAAATAAAAAAGCTAAAATATAATTTAATTTAAGTTAGGGGTCATTATATTCTAAAACACAACAATTAAAAAAAATAATGTAATTAATTTAGTATTTAGACCATAGAATAATTAGGTATTTGTTTAGTTAAAGTTTGCCTTTGTTTTGATAACTTGCTCAGTAGATTAAGGATAAAAACAATGCAACCGTGATTTAGAACTCTAAACAGCAGGTAAGCCAAAAAAAAAAAATTAAAACTACGTCACATCCTCTTGTCAACCCCACCTCTAAAGCTCCTTTTAGAGCTCCTCGAGAGTTCCCAAACATTTCGCAAAACAATGGATGAGAACAAGGTAAGATAAGGCCACGTGCTCAGCATCCAAAGCTTGAATCACCTATAAACAGGTGTGGTGAGTTTGTACTTAATGGAAGGAAGGGGAAACAAAAAAATAAAAAAAAAACAACAACAAACGAGAAGTATAGGAAAGGAAATGAGCCAGCCAGTGAATGTTGAAGAAAAATTAAGAATAGTTTTATTTTTGAGCTAATATAAATTATACTTCGTAAATTATATTAGCTTTTATTATTTACTTAATGAGTTCTATTAATTTTTTAAAAAAAACTTATGGATATAATTATTTATTAAATGTGTTTTTGGAAATAACTTGATAATTGATAATGTAAACAATTATTCCATAAGTACCTCTATGAAGGTTTCATGTATTGAGAGACGTAAATAGCTATTGATTCTTTGATTAGTCACTTTAGTGATCATCTGTTTGTCAGGAATCTATTAACCCTTGTTCTGTACTATTTTATGATTATTTTGCTTATATGATTTATATATTGTATTTCTGTTATTTAAAATAATGTATTTATTCAAATCAAACTATTCATTGTTTAGCCTCAATAATTATCCATAGTGACTTGCATACCCCTTATGCTTTTAGTATAACATTTATCATTCTGCCATGCACTTTATAACTGTTAAACGGTAATGAAACTTAGGGAGGAGTTTTTACCCCATAAAGAAAGACCAAGGCTTGGAATAAATACCATGTTTTTTTATTTGTATTTATTATTTGGCTTTTATTTATATTTTATTTGTATTTATTATTTGGCTTTTATTTATATTAATTCCAATTATTTTATATGGATATTTAGTATAGAACAAAATATATTTATCCAGATATTTTAATTCCAAACATATGAAATTTGTTTGGATACTCAGTGCCGAATCAATTCAAAAAATCAATCTATGAAAAATGATAAAAAATTGCTTGGCAACGTCTTATTAATTATCTATTATCAATTTCAATATGAAATAAAATATAAGAATGGTGGGTTAAAGCAAATAGGGTTGAGTTAGGATTAGATAGGAAGATGCAAAGAAAATATTACTGATGATGAATGTAGTGTAGAGACATTTTTATTCACACCTTTTTTTTAAAAAAATAAAATACTTTTTAATCATTTTAAATAGGAATTTAATAAAAACAAATAAAAAATATTATTAAATTGAAATACCCAACTTGCATTTTGTGGGTGCTCCTCTTCTACTACGAGTGGTTAACATTTCTCATTTAAATTTTATCCAATTTAATTGAGAGTTTCCATTGCCTTTTGAAAAAAAAGAAAAAGAAAAAGAAAAGAAAAAAATTGTAGTCCCAACTCCCAAGGCGAGGAGGCATGGAAAGTCAGTAGACCGGTAAGAGTTGAAGAATATGAGACAAACCCTACATATTAGCACAAGAACGAGAACAAGAATATGAGAGACGACAGAGAGAATTAAGCTTTCCTTTAATGGAAGTCACTTCCCATCTTAAATTTAACAATTTTCTCTTCCGACCCTCCACTCCACTTCGTCTCTGTATGTCCCTCTCTCTCTCTCTCTCTCTCTCTCTCTCTCTCTCTCTCCAAATGGTGTCTTAACTTTGTTCTACTCCAATTTTCAGGTACGAAGGAAACGAGGCTTTTCTTTCCATCTCCTCTTCGGCCGGTAATTTCTTGTCATAGTGTTGAGTTATCGAAAAGTATTTTGTTGTGTGTCTGTGTGTGTTTGTGAATAATTTCATCGTTCTTGATTATCAACAGACTTTGTGTAGACCAGAACAATGAATCCCATGAATTTGGGAATTATCTGATTTTATTTATTTATTTTTTTGTTAAATGGGAAATTGAAATGTATGCTTGTTGTAGGTGGATAATCAAAGAATTCTTTCACCTTGACAACAATTCTTGACTGGGGAACTATTAATTAGTGTAGGTTCTTTGGGTGCAATTATGATTTGGGGATGTGGGTACCTTTGAATGCGAACATTACTTCTTTGATGTGATAGATGAGAGAATGAAGCAAGGAACTAGTAAGAAAAATGTCAACATTAGAGAGAGAAATGCTTGGATTTTTAAAGGTAAGGTTGTGGAGTAGGATGCACTATGGGATAAAGCATGTAAATTGTCCTTTGCATAAGCTGTATGTATCTGTTTTGATAAAATTTGGCAAGGAGGATTGGATGCGGGCTTGTCAGGACAAAGTGTTGTCCACGTGTTAAAACCGTCTGACTTCTAACTAGGAGAATTGTGTGAGGTCCAAAGGTTTAAAAACCTCTTGGTTCTTTTCCTGCTTCAATGAAGAGGACTTCAAATCTCCCAAGTGTTTGAAAATTAGGAAGAGTACATAGCAAGTAATGAACAAACAAGAACTTGAAACTTCATTATTTCAACGGATTGAAGACACAGAATGTTGAAAAGAACAAGAAACTAAATTGCACTCAACGGATTGAAATACAAATAGTTTGGGATTAACTAAACTAAGGCTATGGATAGCCAAACTAAAATTACGGATAGCTAAATAAATTGACTGACACGTGTGCCTTGAGCTATGTATTTGATTTGAGTTTGATTGAAATGGATGTCTTTCAAGTAAACTTCTAAATGGCTTGAACCTCCTGTTGGTAGCAACCCAATGATTTTTCCCAACCATCTCAGTTGGTGACCTACTTTGTTGCCTCTTTAATTGTCATGTGTCCCATGATAGCCACCTTGCCTAAGCATCTCTAATGTATTCCCCAAGAAATGGAAGTGGTTATTCTATATTAATTCATGGTCATTTGATCAAGTAGTAATGGATCTCTAACTTTAGATGGATGAGTGCCATCTGTCCCACCTTCCCCATATTTCTTGGTGAACTTCTCAGAAAATGGTAGTGGTTGATTCATCTTCACCGTCCACTGTTGGATTAAAGAAACATGGGTTCGAGCTCTAGCTGGATGAATGCCACGTGGCCCTAGTTCTTCAAAACCCTTTTTCAAAAAGAACGTCTCTACCATTATAGATACACCCAAGAGAGAATCCTTCTCTACTTACTAGGGATCTAGGGGTGGTAGTCACGACTCACTAACATCACTTATTGTTAGCCTCGCCTCTGCACCATGTGTCACCACATATTCGGCCTGTCATTTTTCAGTACAAACAGTATCTTATTGAATTAGAGTTACTTATTGAAAAAGAATACATATTAAGTAATTAAGGAAATATTTTAGAAGTAATATATTTGAAAATTTTTCAAAATAATTTGTAATCTAAAAGAAATCACGTAAAATGGTTGTTTTAAAATAATTTAACAAGAAGAAAGAAAATTTTATAAGGAGAGAATTCCGGAAAAAGAGGGGGGAAATCTTTCAACTTTCAACCAATTTTTAATTTTTATGTTTCTTCTCTAAATGAGGTGGTTTTGATCACCATTGTTGTCCCTATATTATGCAAGCCATGTTTGACCCGTAACCTAAGAAGCACGGACACGACATGGACACGACACGGATACATCAACTTCTTAAAAGTGTCTGTGCTTCTTAGCCCATAACATTCAAGCTAACCTGTGGATTGCTAGAGCAGGAACAAAATCAAACCATAGCACAACCCATTAAAGCCTAGCCTTCTTAACCCTATCATAGTTATTTTTTATTCAGTGTTACCACAAATGTATATTCTTCTAGCAGGCATAGGTGTAAGGGGAAGACAGTGGGCTACATACTCTAAAATATGACTTGATAGGCATAAGCTTATACAGTGACATTGTGGGGCATTTGTTGTGGTGGTTTTAATTGTGATGATGGTTTTCTTGAAAACCATATATAAGTAATGAGGATTAGGTTATTAGATGCAAAAGTTGTCAATTTACCCTTGGAAACTTGTATAGAAGTAGTCAAGTAAAGGAATTGAATAAACTGTTATATGTATGTTGAGTTTTCAATTTTCTTTTGCTTTTCCATTCATTAGTCTCATAGAAAATGTTCTCTTTTGTGAGAAGTTCAAATGTAGTGTAGATTTATTTTCTTGTAGGGTTTTGTTTTCATCGCAAAAATTCAGAAGTAATGGAGTTTGATATTTCATGTCAGTTCAAATTACTTGAATTTAATTCCCTTGTTATCAAATTTCATCTCCTTGCAAATCCAAGATACAAAGCAAGAAAAGTAAAGATAATTGTAAGGAGTCCTGGAATAAATTAGAAGAGTAGTAAAAGATCATTAATGATAGAGATTATTCCGATCCTATTCTATTTGAATACTTGAATCACCCAATGATGATCTTGGCCTGAGTGGGAACCGAATGTAGGATGGAAATGGGGGTTAATTATTTAGGTGATGGGTGGTGACAGGGCCGGCCCAAGTGCACAACCATTAAGGCCATTGCCTTGGGCGCGCCCAAATTGGGAAATGCCCCACTTTCTGTAATGCCTATATAATATGTTTTGTTTTATTAGAATTGTTAATGATTTCCCCAAGAAAATTGGTTAACAGAACTTAAAATTGTTTTTTATTTTCTATCGAGCACATTTCTATAAATAAATAGTATACAACTATTACAATCTTCAAGTGCCCCTCGGGCATTCGTTAACAAAATTCATATTTTCTAATGCTTGTCTTGTAAATCCCAAGTCTTTTCACTGTCACAAGTTTTGATATTGATTTATTTTGTATGTAGGTTTGAAAAATTAATTTCATTTGGTCCAACTGGTTTCAAAATTGAAACCAATCAATTTCCAAACCTTTCACTTCTTTAATTTTACATTTTCTTCATCTTCTTATGGTCATCACCAATATCCTCGATTTTTTAGGAGTAATTACGTGTAAGTCCTAATAAGTGGGCTTATTGTCTAATAGATCCTTTGGAAAAAATTTGTCATAAAAAAAGTCACTAATTGTAAGTTTTAGTTACAATTTATAAAAATCATGACAAAAAAAAGTCACTAATTGTCAATTTTTAGTGACATATATAAAAAATTGTCACAAAAAATTATTTTTAGCGACAATTCTACCAAGTCTTATTTTCAATAGGATTTAATGGGAATTAAGTCAAACTATTAGGACCTATTGGTAGTTATATCCTTCACTTTGTTTTTTATGGCACTCCCGAATTAAATGCTCATGTGTGAATGGTAGCTCACAAAGAGGTGAACACTAGAGATATTTTGAAGAATAAGTAAGCAAATAGCTATTCTTTCTTGTATTATTTTCATGTACGAGAAAATTAGGGAAGTTGATTCGTTTTTTTCCTTCTTTTTTGTTGTCTTAAGTAAGGTTTTAAAATGCTGCTGTTGTTACATACCAGTATAAGTTGTCTCCACTATCTATCTCGGCCGCAATATTGGTGGGAATAAAATCGCAGGTGTAAAGATCGTTACAGTTTTGGTTCCATTTAGGGTTGTAATGACCCGTTATGATGCCATTATGGCTATCATAACCACACAGTTGGCTCCTTCCTATATAGCAGCTTGATTTTTCCAGATTTTTTTCCCCTTTCAACTTCTCGATCTCATACAAAACACACTGTTGGCATCTAACAAACCCAGATGTACAAGATTTGAGCCACCAATCTTCAAATCTACTAGTTGCATTTGGTTTATTTTTCCTAAATTTTCATGTGATTACTTGAAGGTTTGGTATTGTTAACTTGGCTTTATGATTATGAACTTGGATATTTTTTGTTTAGGAAGGAGTTGTGATTACTAACTTGGATTTTTTATTATTATTATTTATTCCTATAAGTTTGAAATACAACAACAAAATACATAATAATGGTGTTTTAAAAAAGTCTAAGTGCGAGGCACTTCAAGTAGGTTGAGGCGAGGTGCTGAACAAAAGGTGCTGAGGCATACCCCTGGGGATGAGGTGCAAGACGAGGGCCTTACGGGCTTTACGTAGGTTTTTACTCCAACACTTGATTTAAGTGATTCTTGTGTGGATACCCGCAGGCAAGGTTTTAAAAAGCGGCCGCAACCGTTACATAACGCCGTTATGTAATGGTTGTGGTGGTTACCACCACCCGTTATGGCCGCTTTTGCAGTGTGATTGAGATTCATAGGTGTGTCGGCCGTAGCGGCTGTTGTAGCGGTCGTAACGGTGCCGCAACGGCCTGTTACGCAATGGTTCCGAGCTGCTTCTTTCGAAAAAACACAAAAAGAAAAAAAAATCTGAAAATGAGGGAAGAATAGAGAGAGAAGAGGGAAGATAGAAGAGCAAGAGAGAGAGAGAGAAGAGGGAAGATGAAGAACATGTTATTGATTTGTTGAAACTGTAAGACCTATGCTATTCTATTCAGCTGCTATCACTCAACCATTTTGTTTGTTTGTGTGTGTCTATCTATATATTGTTTGAAAATAATAATAATAAGTGTAGTCATTATCTATTTGACTTGATTAAAATATATATATTTAAACTCTTATTTATTTTTTTACTTTTGTCATTGTTTATCTTATAATGGTTAGTGATTGATTTTTTCGTAAAATATTTAGAAAACATAGCACCTATAATTATATATTAATACATATTTTATACATGTCAATTTTTTTTTATTAGTTTATTTTATTTTTATTTACAAATTATCAAAAAAGAGAATGAATATTCAAGTGATCCAAACCAAAAAAAAAAAATTCTTTATAATTTATTTTTTAAAAACTATTCAAATTAAAATTTGCATATGCTTCACAAGTATAATAAT